TGCAAATGGACGGTTTCATCTATGCGGATGAGCTGAAGCTATGGATGGTGGTCTCCAGCCAGGATGACGCTGTAATTCTACAAATATCGCTCGACTAAACCTCCAGGTAGCAAATCCCATTCCATCACGACAACCGCCCTGTTTTTTCCCTTGGCGCCGCTGAACCGTTCGGAGTCTATCACCCTGGGGGTACTAGCTCAACGACGCTTATAAAGAGCGAGGCCTTGCTATCATTCTGTCTCCTGCTCTTCGGTTAATGGAGGACACTTTGAATAGGTACGCCTCTGCCACCAAGTTGTTCGCTGCTATACGAAGAGATTCCGCCCGGTTGACGCTAGATACCAAGAAGCTTCTTTTTGCCATTATCGTGAGGCCAATTCTCAAGTACGGATTTTCTGCCGCGTATCCTCTCACGAAGATTGAGTGCAGCTGGAATAAACAGCATCAGCGACGCGGATAGAACGGCGTCCAGGATTTGCGGCAGCTCGTTTGTCCCCTTTGGCTTTAGTGCATGAAGCTGTTCTCCCTGAATTGCCGTCTCTGACGTAGTGAGCTGCTTCTCACTCGACATGTTCTAAGGGGAGAGCTGGGAACAAAGCTTCATGGGTTCATTTGGATCAGCTCTGAAAGCGAGATCAATGGGCACAGCTGAAAGGTAATGAAACAGGGGTCGCTTCGAACAAACATCTAACTTACTCTGTCAACCCATGTGGTAAACGACTTGAGCCCCTTACCCCAGCAGGTAATTGATGAGCACGCAGAGGAAGGTTTTAAATGACTGTTGGATTTCCCTCTGATAAGTATGCCGGGAGCCTGCTGGTTTTAGTGAAACTGCTAGGTCCATCGTGGAACCCTATTTGCCAGTGATCTGCGGCGTCAGCACAATACTCAGGTATGGTTAAAGTTGACCAACGGTCCCACCTCTGCTATTCATAATCCAACGAATCAAATGAAAATTGGCCAATAATACCACTGAATTAAAACGTGGATCAAAGTAGCTTTCAGGATAGAACGACTTCGCGAACCTTACTTCGTTACTGTTTTATATGAATTTGAAAGACTTGTATATTCTACTGTAGAATTTGTCGATGCGCGGACTGACAAAATTTTCAAACCGATTCTGGGCAGGCAACTACGTAAGACGTTACGACGTACTGTTCTACTGCGACTGCTCCGGACCCTTGCCGACTACCAGGTAGCGGCAGCGTGTACGGTCTTAGTGCTGCATTGTGCGTGACAAAACTAACAAAGTGCCTATGCCTTGCCCTCAAAAGTTTAATGAACTAATTAATTGAAGTAGAAATTTTGTAGTTTTGTTGAACTGTGGGTCAGTTTGGTTAAAATAACTGCAAAAATAGGTGTTTGGTCAAGCCACAATAGCTTACATGGAACGACGTGTAACTTTCCTCCCAATGTTCCAAGCAGTATGCTCATCATAGGGTTCATAGAGTTCATAAAGTTGTAGAGAGCAGAAGGGTAGACCCTTGTCAGCTCCAGCACCTCCCGTTCATTGGCTGGATGACCTGTCGATGCTAAACTGTGTTCCTCGAGGGATGGTTGCAGCTGCAGCAAAAACAGCGGAATCCAGGCATGCTCAGCATGTACTTGTCTAATCGTTCTTTAAAACATTCCTCTGTCTGGGCACTTACCACACATACAGGAAGATTGTTCCACTCATTCAAAACCCGTGTGGATAACGCGATATCGGACCGGATATGGTTCCGCTGAGGTTTAAGAAGTTTCAAACTGTGGCCCCGTGTTGAACAACCTGTGTTGAGCTGGAAGAACTGCGGCACCTCCATTCCAAAATCGCCCATTAAAATGCCTCTAGTATAAATCAGATCACCACGGCGACGGCGGTAGTCCAGAGTAAATAAGTTCATACTTTGGAGACGATGGGGATTAGGTAAAACACGTAGCATAGCCACAGACTTGGATCCGTGCCTCTGAACCTTCTCAAGCAACGCACATTCAAATTTCGTGAGTGGGTGCGTGGTAGGCCGTATTCCAGTATAGGACGAACGTACGAGGAAAACAGTAGCCTGAGGTTCTGCGGAGTCATTTTGTTAAACGACCTTCGTATGGCACAGAACATCCTGGTGGCAGATGCTACCTTCCGCAACGTGTCCTGGGTTGTTCTTAGGTCCGGAGAAATAACTACAACCAAATCCTTCCCACCAACTACACTCTTCAACAGAAAACCACCGATGTGGTGAGCTCCGAAAGGTTCCTGATCACCGATCGGGAGAACACATTAAGTATCATGATTGATAGGCATTTGACACTTGACCGACCAATCGTGCAGCAGATTGAGTGTCAGCTTCAACGTGTCAGCATCTTCAAGCCTGGGTATTTCCGACCAAAGTTTAAGATCATCAGCATAGATCAAGCAGTCGATTTGGAGCAGCTTTGGGAGATGGTTGATAAAGATTTTAAATAGTTCGGTACCAAGTACGGAAACTTGTGGAACCCCACTGGTCATAAGAACAGGACCAGGGTCAAATTAGTTAGCCCTCGCTTTCATACGACGGTTACCTAAGAAATCCGCGATCCAGGCGAGCGATTTACCAGGGATGCCAATCTGCCGACGTTTGATAAGAAGTCGCTTGTGTGGAGCCCTATAAAACGCCTTGCTAAAATCCACAAAAACTACACCAAGTCAATGGCCAGCATCCACTGACTACGCCCATTTTTCTCGGGCGACAACCAAATTGGTAATGCAAGAGCGTGCCCTCCGAAATCCGTGCTGAGCAGGAGAGATGACGTCCAATTTCTCAAGGTGAAGATGCAAGGCCTGTTACCAAATCTTTTCCATGCTTTTTACAGAGGATTGCTGACAGGCAAATCGGTCGGTAGTTCACTGGATCTTGGCGATTCCCACCTTTGTGCATGGGTTTCACAACACATGCTTTACATTTCGTTTGGTGACGACCTTCTTCAAGTGAGCTACGAAATACCTGACAAATTGGTGCAGCAATGAACTCCGCCACCTCTTTGAGGAACAAGGGATGTAGGGCATCGGGAGCCGGTGAAGAATTCGAGTTCAATTCAAGAAGCAGTACCAATACTCTGTCAGTGGTACTTTCAACATGCTCTAATGGAGAGGGTTGACAGGGATGGTCCTCAACAGCTAATGGCGCATCCGTTGTATACACAGAAGAATATTACGAAGCTAGCAGATAAGCTTTCGCCATGTCATCATGAAGCATGGTGACCTCTTTGCTTGAATACAGTATTGGTATACCGTTGCAAGCTTTGGTGCTTCTTTTTAAGTATGCGAAAAGCTTTTTCGGATTAACCACAGATTGCTCGGCTAGATGTCGCTCCTGTAATTCTTGCTTCTCGCGCTTTTACAGGGTACATAAATTTCTAGCCTCTTTTAATGCGCATAATCTTGTGCCGTCTGAGTGAACTTAAACCGGCCCCAAAGTTTCCGCGTTCTCATCATAAGCGATTTGATTTCCCGATCTATCCATGGGGGTCATTTGGAGAAAAATTGTTTTGTGACCCTTGGAACAACCCGATCAATGATAAACATCAGCTTGGAGCACAAAAGTTCCCAAACAGCATCCAGATCCAACTGATGAGGGATATTCCAGTCCATGAGGCTGGTAGCCAATTTTAAGCGGAGGGGGTCAGCTCGCCAGAAGTTTCGGCGGTGCGCTACTTGGACATTGATAGCTAACCGTCGTGTCCACAAAAAGGAGACTTCACAGCGATCAACTTTGCCAAGAGGCTGAAGAATGTTTAGAGCGGAAACATCTGATGAGCTAGGTGTGAGCACAAGGTCAAGGAGGTGTGGCACATGGCCTGGAAAAATAACGGGTAGGGGATAAAACTTGTTGTGTTAGATTACATTCGAGGACTATTTCTAATAAACGTGTATCAAAAGAATCTGGAGCTAAATTGCAATGAAGTGCATCCCAGTCTAAGGCCGGAGCGTTGAAGTCACCCACAATCAATCTTTGCCTCCCCGTGTATCCACATAGCGTCTATCAGGTGGGATCCTGACTCCAAGGGGATCTGTAGATAACGCCCACTATGAGCGGTCGAAACCCATCGTGAACCCTGCACCAAAGAATTTCCGATTCTCCATCGAGGTCACACATGGCTTCCACTGTTTGAACTTTAAGGTCTGACTTCTAGTTAAGTGCAACCCCTCTCCGGATCTCCATCCGAGACGATCCGCACAGGATAGTTGATACCCTGGGATAAATACCTCCGAGTCCGAAATATCCGAGGCTAGCCAAGTCCCCGTAAAAACCGTCAGATCAGGTTCTTGCTCCGAGGTCATGAGCAGTATCTCCTCCAATTTGTTTCTCAAACTACGCACATTCGCCGATATCACATGGAATCCACTCCTGATTCTCAGTGTACCGGGAGAACGAAAATTGGTCACCACCGATTCTTCGGGATCCTTTTAACTACTCGAAAATCCATAACGTGAAGGTCGCTTTCACCAGCTGCTCGTCGGATTCGTGGTTCATCAACGGCCTGCTTCATCTTAACTCGATCTTCTGGGGAGATGTCTCTCATAACATAGAACGTTTCTCCTTTCAAACGTGAGGTTCGCTGGAGGATGCGCGGCATTCCTTTTCCTCCTGAGAGACCACCTTTAGGGGGCGAACTTTCGGGGAGTCATCCTGCTTCCTGCCGACGCGAAAAGCGGAAACGAAGTTTATGCCCTTTTCCCCTACATCGAACAATAACGAAACAACCCGCCTCAGAAACGTTTGGTCCTTTCAGCCGAGGACACCTTAATAGACTCAGCGGCGTTTACGATGATCAAACATCGTTCCCTCTCGGGAAATCGGCTTTTTCATTTTGATGCGGCTTTTGGAGGCAAGGCTTTGCATTGATCATGGAAAATATAGGGACTGCATGGAATCATTGAGAGTTCAAGGGCATAAGTTTTATTATTCAACGTTATGTACAAAGTTAGAAAACTACTTATTAGATTTTTTTGTATTTTATCGCACTGTCATTTTAATGCACTGTTTCTCAATGACCTATTTAAAAGCGGAACCGCATTCGTTTTGGGGTCACTTGTCAAGGACATCTATCTGTTTCCGTGATCCGCTTGATCTTGAGATGTCTCCTTCCGTGGGTTATTGGAAAATCCGTGGAGTAAGGCCTTGCATAAAGTCCTAATTTTTGAAGCTAGCTCAGTCTATTAGGTTGTTACTGGAGTACATCGGTGAGGAATTTGATGATATACAATATGAATGTGGGCCAGGTATTCCCATTACTTCCGGTTTATTTGTGTAGCTCCTGAATACAGCAGAAAAGACTGGGAAGATGTAAAGCCAAACATGGGCCTGGATTTTCCAAATGTGGGACTCCAAATATGTTTTATTTTTGTAGCTCCCTTATTATAAGGATGACGATGTCAATCTGACGCAGACTGCAGCTATCTTGGCATATGTCGCCGAGAAGCACAACATTGGTGAGTCGTTATGAGTTACATACTTTTATTTTTGTATCATACTTTTCATGGTGTTTTGCTTGTGGACATTTCGTTTTTTCGTCTAGGAACGCAGTAAGTTTAAGTTCAAGCGGAACGATAGTATTATCCCGTGAGTGTTCCTTCTTCAGCGGGTCCTTGAACCAGGAGTTGGCAGACTTTGAAATGCTGATGGATCTAAAACAAAGACCGCATCACTCCCTGTCCAACCAATTAATGCCCACGTATCCTGCCCGAGCAGTCCCTGCTGGGCTGGTTACGTGGTAAGAAAGAAGAAAAAAGTAGACTCAGAAAGGAAAAAGCGAAAGTGGAAAGAGCTACACAAGTAGAATATCAAGATATTTGACTTGTTAAAGCACTGAAAAGTGTAGATGAGTCAGTTAGGAACAAAGAAAGCTTTGGTTTTGCCCCTCAAGAGCATCGATCTGGCCTGCAAAACCCTTAACCGGATGTTCCCTGACCACGTGATCTGGAAGCGAATTCCAGCCTTCTGTAACTCAGCGCTACAGATGAGTTTCCATCCTAATCCTATTAGACCGTGCTTTATGCAGTTTCAGTGGGTGACCGCGGAGATTAGGTAACGTAGCGGGACTAAATAGCCCTGACAAGTCCGGGCCGATCTTACCCGTCAAAATACGATAAGTGAGATTCAGGTCCCCTCTTATCCTTCGGTAGTGCATTGAGTACATCCCCAAACTGAGCAAGCGTTCAGGATACCTCTGTTCCCGTAGACCATGCACTAATCAAGTGCCAACTCGTAATACCCTCTCCAAGTGCATTTTGTCTCGGTTAAGACATGATGGGCAAGCCTGGATACAATATTCCAGGTGGGGTGGGACGAATGCCGAAAATAGCTTCACAAACAAATTGGCCGTTAGGATTCCGAAAGAGCGACGAATAACCCACATCATACGAACCCCGACAAGCAGCCTTCTTCCAATTGTCGCCAGAATGAAGTGTTGATGAGTGTACGACCCCTAAATCAACCTACTGAGTGACAACTGGGAGTTCACCACCACCGACAACATATCAGGTGGGAGGATTTACAGCTCCGATCCGGAGAACAGGGCACTTGGCCTTATTTATGGGCATCAACTATAAGGTAGACCATTCCCAGAGCCCATCCAGGGCAACCTGAACTGCCTCAGGACCCCCCACCCCCGGGATATCCGCAGTATTCCAGAGCTTAAAGTCGTCAGCAAACATTAGTGGTGACACTTCTAGCTCTCCAGGCAAGTCATTTACATAGATCGGGAACAACAATGTCCCCAATACTGAGCGCTGCGGGACTCCACTAAGGACAGCTTGCCTGAGCGAAAGACTACACCCCACCCGTACGCACTGTTCCCTTCCATCAAGGTAGGCAGACACTCATTGAAGGACACGACCAGATATACCGTAAGATCTTTAGTGAGAATCGAAGATGAGGAACAGTGTCAAAATCTTTCGAAAAGTTTACGAATAGCACGTCTACAACGTGGGCACTGTCTACCGCTTCGTCCCGACTTTTAAGAGCTACCAGTAGATTAATGTGACATGAAAATCCCTTGCGGAATCCATGTTGCGCAACACTGAGAAGGTTGAATCTATTTAGCTGGTTTTCCACTAAATCCCTTATAAGCTTTTCAAACAACTTGGCTACTACGCTTGTCAAACTGACAGGCCGGTAGTTCACGGGCAGAGCGCTGTCACCGCCCTTAAAAATCGGACAGATGATTGCCTCCTTCCATTCCGAAGGTAGGATGCAGCTGTCAAGCGATATTGAAAACACGCATGTGAGAGGACCACTCAGCTCAGCGGCCAATTCATGCAACAGCTTCGGATGAATTGAATCAGGACCGGAAGCTTTAGAGGGATTAATACCTTTCACTAGCTCGAAGATCTGAGTCTCGGTAAGGCTAAACTTTGCTGAAAAAGAATCCTCTGGAACTCTTGAAACCAATTCATCCTGTGGTAAAGAGGTGTCTCGAGCAAAGAACCCAGTGTACTGATTACTAAGTATACAAGCCTTGGTATAGTCAGTGCGCACGGGTCCAGTCTGCTCGCAATAACGCTGGTATAGACAGTTTTGCCTCGCTGCGTCTTTTAACGTAAGCAAAAACTTGGGATTAGCTGCGGCCGAGTCCGCTAAACCCTGCTCGTACTGGACACGAACAGTCCTGGGATGTTGCTTACATTTATTGCTAATCTCTCGATAACTATCATAGGTGCTGGCTGATGGAGCTGATGGTTGGTTCGCCAACATCTAGACCGTTCCTTGAGTAGGTACTTGCCTGTGTTATCTATTCATGGAGGCTGTGACCGTAACCCTCTTTTCCTCATGAGTAGAATCTAGGGAGTGAAGACCTCAGTATGCCTTAAATTTTTCCCAGGCTAACTGGACAGAGTCAGCCATCGAGATCCTACATTTCGGAACTGAAGCCTTAGCTCGCATTGCACTGAAGTCCGCCTGCCAAATATTCGGAAGTCATTCAGCAGCCGTCTGTTGGTGCCTTGAAAGAGCACATCAAAAGGATATGCATGCGTGATCGATGGACTCTAGAGGTGCACCGTATGAAACGTCAGTCACGAAGTAGAGGGACTTGGCGAAAACCACATCTAAAGTAGATAGTATTTAATTGTCCATATGCCTAGTGGGGAAGGTTTCGAACTGGTAGAAAGGCACTTGGAGAGTCAGCTCAGGAAAGTCTGCACCGAATGTTTCTGACCTCGATTTTCAAGAAAGATCGACCCAACGGACTTCCGAGAAGTTGAAGTCCCTTGGAACTAAACACTTATTCGCGGACTGGGTGCGAATAAAGTCCCTTATCCACCTGGAGGAAATTCCAGGACTGCTGTGTATCACTACAACTGTAAACTGTGTAGAAAAAGTGCACAAAACTGCCGGTAGGGCTTCGACAGTCTGATCCGACGACTGGAATGTACAGGTCTTCCACACATCTAAGTTACAGCTCAGATAGAGTACAACACATGTTGCTATGTACTACCTCAAGGAAGTCGGCACGACCATCCCTGGGTCGTGCACCATCAAGACGGGTTCTGATAGGGCGGAAAATAACTTCCGGCTGACCACCTGAAAACCCACCAGACGGAGACCTTGCTTACCAGCCGCCCGTCTAGTTTTGGAGTCTTTGATAACCTTCAACTTCAGTCTTTCTGCCAGTGGAAGCTCCGGCTGAACACTGACACCACTACCCTTAAGTTTAAATACAAATCGCAGTAATGATTTGCGTTCCCCCGGTGTAGAAAGGACCGCGCGAAGTGGTCGGGGTCGCCTATTTGGCGTACCGATAGGGACATTCCCCAATCTGGTAAGCTTTCTGATAGTGACACCAGGGAAGCCAGGTAACGCATAGTTTGAGCCGCTTTCTGTCATCCAAAATGCGTTCCTTTGAGAGACCAGTCGCTGATTTAGTGACGTTACGGGATATAACACAACTATCCGTGAAATAGTCGCCACCACGGGGCGTGTTTACTCCACGGGGCTTGGATTCGACACTTACACCGGCTGTTTTCACACAGGCGGTGTGACTGTCCCTGTCTCCGAAAACAAACTCGAAGCCACGGTAGCGTAGGTTTTCCACTCTATTGCCGGCGTCTTACTAGTTCCTGGGTCTTCAAGCTCCTTCGAAGTTTTACGGGCAGACCTGGTCTGCTTCTTCTTTTGGCTCACGGGAGCAGGGACCGTTGACCTCGTCGCACTGAGCACTTAATAACACTTCGTCATAACGGGCTGTCAAGACGGTCAGCATCTTCGGAATGTTTTGTGCACAACCGTCAGATGACTTTACGACTGTCAAAGACGGCATCTTTCTCGATGCTGCGGCAACTAACTCTGGGTTTAGCAGTGGGCTTTTGGTATTTCCGCACCATATTTTTCTTCACTTTGACCGGCTCATGAGGATAGTCAGCAATGCTACCTGGAGTGCCCGGTAAGATGTGCGACTTCTTGACCGAGTGACAGACCCCAGCGGATTGATCGTCATTAATGTTGCCGTCTATTGCAGTGTCCTCAATCGCAATATTCAGGGATTTCAAAATCAAAATCAATTTCGCTTCAAGCGAGGCTATGGAGGCGAGTTTGGCTATCGTCTTCTCAACCTCTGCCAACGTTGAAGCCAGCGCTGAAAGTTTTGCACCGGTGATAGCCGGACGCATCGATTTCTGAGCGCAGCAATCAGCACAGTTGTAATGAAAGTGAACATTGGATGAAAGCATGTTGTATTGCTCTACTTGTAGACCGGTACAGCTTTCGTGATACCAGAGGCAGAAGACGTCACACTGCATACCGCCTGATAAATCTGTTACTGGCTCTGAACAGTTAGACTGTCCGCAAGCTTCACTAGACTCATCAAACGAGGACTCCAGGGGTCCATGCGCCTCGGTATTTAGCGAGACAGCAATATTCTTGTGGAAAACAGCAGAACTATAACACGTATACAGTAGCAAAACGACTGCATTAAGGAAAACAAAGATAGGGTGCAAAACGGGATTAAAACAGGGAACAACCGGAAAACTATCAGTAAGCGCCAAAGACGCTTTGGTCAGTACGACTTTAATCGATCCAAAATGTCTTGGATCAGAGGAAATTTGACAATTGTCAAATTTCGTTTCAAGTGTTTATTCAAACACGGTTTTCCACGTTATTTCAGCTAAGAAGCTCGATCAGTATAGCACGCCAAAAAACCGAGTTACCGCGTAGTGCTCACAGAAGCGCAGTATTAAGAGACGGCGTTACAACAGTTTTATCGCCATGTTTGTTACTTTCTCGCACATTGGCACCTCACTTTTCCTCAAGTTTAAGTGGGACTGGAATATAGGAGACTCCAGTGTGGTTTCTTTCTTGAACTAATCGTTGAGCCAGAAATTGATGTGGTACTCAGAAGTTCTCATGGCTCTGAAAGGAAACACCCGAACCACATCCTAATGAACCAATTACTGCTCATGTCTCTTGCAATAGCAGTGTCTCCTGTGGCTGTCAC